AGACTATGTATCCAACTAGACCTACTCAATATTGTTGGAATATAATATAATAATATATAGTGGCTATGTCTGTTTATTTTTTTTTTCTCTATCTCTAAGGATGAGATAAAAATCATCTGACCTTTTTTTAAGAGAGGGTCATTAAAAGACACCTCAGAAGTCGGGAAAGCTCATTTCCAGCCATCTAGAAATCAAAATTTTCCTGTGGGAGGACCTCCCTTTCATTTTCGGTTTTTTGGAACATTTTAAACCCACTCTTTCAAATCCTGGATCCGCCCCTGTAAAGGTTCCAAAACCTGAAGCAGGCCAGAGTCTCTTACTTTGGAGTTTATGTTTACAATAACATTATTTTCAAATAAAATAATTTATAGGGATGGTATTTTATTTGACAAAATAAAATAGTATTTTATTTGACAAAATTTAGACCCGCATTTTGAAAAATTAGAGCTAATTTTTCAGATATTAACCAGTGGGTTACGGATTTGAAAATGTTGCTGAAGCCTGAGAAATGCAAGGTACTTTCTTGTATCCTTAACACCAAACATGGTACTGGTACTGGTATTGGGTATTTATATTGCGCCTTTCCCTTGCGGTCATAAAGCGCAAGCCAAGCCTCAATAATTCAGGAAAACAATGGTAGGCATAAAATCAGTCATTATTCAGCAACCTGAAGCATCACAGTAGTACAGTCACACAAACAATAAAGACAAATAAACAGATTACGACAATAAAAACACAAAAGAAACAATTACATGATTTCCAATAAAGTGCATGACAATGAAAATTTATACCATAGAGATGTACAGTGGTGTATTTATTGACAAAAACTGACCTTTATTTTTCATGTCAGCCATATTGTTGGCAAGGCCAATAGGCTACTTGGGCTGATGTGGCACAATTGCCAGATTTTTCACCATCTACAAAACTTGCCCTTTATAATTCTCTTATTCAAATTCAACGTTTTTTAAATATTATCTACAACACATTTTCTCACTCACAATCATCTAGAATATATAAAAAGTTTTTTTGTTTTATTGTCCCTGAAAACTGCTGGCCTTGCCAACCCTCTATTATTTCTCCGGAAGATAAAAGAACAATGATTTCACAGAACGAAAAGCTGATGCTCCAGGCACTGTGGGGGTACCATATACAAAATATTATTTCGTTCAAACAAATATTATTTTGTTCCCTAAAAGCATTATTTCATTTCCTCAAATTAATATTTCGTACCTGCGAAATATTATTTTGTTCCCTCCAAATCTGATCTTCTATAGCCTTCACTGCATACAAATTTCCTGCATGAATGCTCTCTCGCGGTGCAGTCCAACAGCAGCAGCAGAGAAGCATGTGCAGCAGGGAGAATTAAAACAGTATCCATTTTGCAGTGGGTAAATTTAGTTTTAAATAGGATTATACATACTGTAGTGATCAGTGATTAATGCATGTGTGCAATGATTTAGTCTTGGGTTTTTTTTTTATTAAACTATATTTACTCCCGAATTCACTGTATTTCAAACAATTTCACTTCATGACTATGCAAAATGTGTTACTAAATTATAGTCTATGAAATATAAACAAGATCCACAAGACAATATAAACAAAAGAGCCACTAGACAGTGATTTAGTTCACTTTTGGCAATCCTGTCCGGCCAACTGAATGTTGTTTTTTGCTCTCTGTTATCTTGTTTTTGTCAATTTTTAATGTTTTTTGGACGAAATAGGTGAAATGAAAATTAAAACGTGAATTTCGCCACTACTTTCGTATTTTCTGGTGGATGAACACATCAATTTTAGATGGTTTACACATCAAAATAAAAAAATATCATTCCGCAAACTTTGACTGTCATTAAGCGATCATGTTTTGAAGTTAAATAGAGGGTTTCCCAATATTTCATCTTGTGCGTGAATTTGGCTCACCAGCTTTTTCAACACAAATATTTCATCAATCTTATTAAAAAATGCATGTAAGTAAACACTATAACATGCTTTTTCAAAATAACTATATAAATTTCTTTGACAATAATTCACAATGAGTATAATATTTTTTACATCAATATCATGTCATTTTTTTCAAATCTCACGAATGATTAAAAACTGTATGCACTCAAAAAAGCCTAATTGGGATACTTATTCTTAGGGCAAATAGAAAAATTTATTAGATTATCACTCCCGTCTGCGTCAAAAATTTCGGAAATACTGATGCAGGAATAATTGTATTTAAAAAAAATTTATTTATTTATTTTTCTTTTTTGTCGCATCATTTATTTTTAGGCGCCTATGTCTACTATATATTCAAGTTATCAAGTTGCACGTCTTTGTATATACTATATATATATATATATATACTGTATTGTTGTTATTTTTATAGTAATAATGCAAGGAGGCCTATAAATGTCCAAAGACACTAGCTATAGGACACCAAAATAACAATTTTTTTTTTTTTTTTTTTGTGGATTTTGTTTGTGATCTTTTATACCTTGTAAAAGTTGCTACCAATTTGGCCTTTGGCCATGATTTGTAACTTGTTTTTGAATGTGGATATATTTGAAATAAATAAAGTTAAATAAATAAATAACTATAATTAGGGTGTTCCCTTCCCTTTGATGCTTAAGTAATGTCTGAATTTTTCACCGGAATATTATAGGCCTAGTTTTGGATAGGCCATTGAATCACAGGGCAGTTGTTTAAATGCATCTTTTCCACTTCGAAAAATGATGCACACGGGAATCCCCTGGTATAATCCGACCCCCTAAAAAAAAAAAATTAATAAAAAAAAAAAACCTCCTGCCCTCATCAATTTTATCCAAAAAAAAAGAGTTATAATCTAATAATCTTTTCTATGTGCCCATGACAGTATTTTAATGCACAGGCATTTTTTTGAATTATGAAAAAATTGCTAGAATCTTATAGGAAATTTTATAAAATTTTTGAATTTAATGAGCATTTCTTTTGAAAGTGGTAGACGGATTTTTGTGCAAAAATCAATGTATGCATTTCAATCCTTATGTCCTATGTGAATGGGAATATGCTGGCACGATTTTGGGATTGTCCCGGCCACATCTTGAGGACTGGAATATGGTTTATCTTACATACAGCATAAATGGTATTCATTAAATATCTACAAATAAAAAGATCTCAAAAATACCAAAGAGAGCACATTAAAGATGTTTCTTTTGAAAGTGGTAGACGGATTTTTGTGCAAAAATCAATGTATGCATTTCAATCCTTATGTCCTATGTGAATGGGAATATGCTGGCACGATTTTGGGATTGTCCCGGCCACATCTTGAGGACTGGAATATGGTTTATCTTACATGCAGCATAAATGGTATTCATTAAATATCTACAAATAAAAAGATCTCAAAAATACCAAAGAGAGCACATTAACTCCTAAAAGTAAAACTCTCCTACGACACAATAATGATCACTCATGAAAGTGAATATGTATCTCGTTGAGGTTATTTTAGCGCCTATATAAATATAAAATATTGTAAATATTGATCATTTGTGATTTTTTTTCCCAAACACAATTATCACATTGATTTTAGAGAAGGGGGGAGGTGGGAGAGGAAACTGTTTACAGGAAAGCATGTCCCCAGCCCCCTCCCCTGACTACAGGGCTGGTAGTTAGTTTAAGTGGTTAAAGCTGTTATGTCTCAATATTTATTTATTTATTTGTAGAAGTTAATATTTAGGCATTTTAATGAATACTGTGCAATGTTCTACTTCTTATTTTTGTATCACATTGTTGATTCTGTATTATTTATACTGTTGGATGTTTGAATAAAATACAAAATTAGATTTATGTTTTGAATTATATTAAGTTTTAAGAAATTAACATTTTACAAAATCACATCTACGTTTTGTGAAAAAAAAATATTGATTTTGCAATTACATTTTGATTTCAAACCCTGACTACAGGGCTGGTAGTTAGTTTAAGTGGTTGAAACGGTTATGTCTCAAATTTAATTATTTGTAGAAGTTAATATTTAGACTTGTTAATGATTATTATGTAATGTTCTGCTCTTTATTTTTGTATCACATTGTTGATTCTGTATTATTTACACTGCTGGAAGTTTGAATAAAATAAAAAAATTAGATATATCTTTGAATTAGATTACGTTTTGAGAAATTAACATTTTACAAAAACACATCTACATTTTGAGAAAAAAAAAACATTGATTTTGCAATTTGCATTTTGATTTTAAACCTACACTTTTGCTGCCTATGTGTCTTTGCTGAAGAATTTGGAGAAAACTGTCATCTATTAATGATAATTATTGTTTTTTCCACAGCTTCTACTTCCACATATATATGCCAATATGCTTATTACAATGAATGGCAAGCCATAGGAAGTAGTAGGGTAGTTTTATAGACAGTTTCTAATCATTTACAGGTCAGAAAACCTAATTTTAGAACAGCAGCAATTTTTTATTTTAACTTTAATATTGCAAAGGCCCAATATCAAACATAATTTTTTGAGAATTTTAAGCATTGCCTTTACATGCCAAGATAAATTTGAGAGTATTAAAAAAAAAACATGGCAGCTTGACATCACACATCAATTTCGTGAATTCCTTTCTAAGCTCATGTTTTAGGAAAATAAGGTTATACTGTCAGGTCTTTATTAGACATTAAATAAAAATGCTGTACGGCAATTGTTGCGTATCAAGGACCCTATACTTTAAAAGTGCTGCACGGTAATTTTTGCATATTCAGGAGCCCATATTTTAAAAAATGCTGGATGGTTAATTGTTGTGTATCAAAGAACCTATTTAAAAAATGCTGTGCAGCAATTGCTGTGTATCCTCATCTCACAAACAACAACAACAAACAAACAACAAACAACGACAAACGTATTACCTGTACCTGTCACATATATCTCACTCTCTGAGCTATAAACATTACTTTGATTGTTATGATGTGAAAATATTATATTGAAAAACTTGGTCAGTATTCAGTAATTATTTGTTAACACTGATTTTGACTTATAAGACTTACACTTTAACCCAGTGCTTAAACTTGACCAATCACCATCTGAAAATTGAATTTAATAGGATACTGTTAATAAAAAGCAGTATTAAATCATTTTTATAAAAGTAATTCTGTTTTCTTCTTAACAGATGCGTTGTGAGATAATACATGTAATTGTTATCATAATCATCATCTGCTACATTTTAATCAATAATAAATAATGTATTCGTATTAAACAATAGTTCAAGTAGCATCATCATTGTTCACTATCATCATTGTTGTTTTACTAGAATATTAATTGAATTATGACATCAGTGACCCGAACACAAGTCTGCATTTTTAATTTGAATCACCCAAAAAACCCATAAAAAAATATTGAAATTTTCTTATTATTAGACCTACAAGCAGACTGCAGTCACATCAATTAGACAAAAGGCTATTCTTTACTGATACTAACTATAATTATGGTAGAGGTAGATGGGTTACCGTATTATACAATATAATAAGCATGTACTATAAATAATGTGTCCGTCAAACTTACAACAGATGAGGTAGATAAGCACAAGAATACTCAGTACCAACAGGAAGGTGGCTATTACAATAATAACTGTAAACAAATAAGAAGTTCAAAATTACATCAACGTAATATAGTGGTGCCCAACATTCTCACATTTGTGGACCTCACAGGACATGTTAAAAGTATTCACAGGCCCCAGTATAAGTTTACTCATTGTCGATATGCTACAAGGGGCGGATCCAGCTTTTTTGTGAAATGTGTAAATAAGGGAATGTGTTATTTAATTTGGAGGGACCATTCCAAGGAAAATGTTTTCTAGATGCTCAGATAAACACTTTCCTGCTAATGACCTTAGTTTTCTTAAAATTTTAGATATTTTCTTGTGTAAGGAAAAATGATGATTACGAGGCTGGGTTTATGAGGATCATGACACAGGCAGTGGAACAGTTTCAGAGTGATGGAAGCATAATGTGATCGAATTGAGCACATCATCACAGTTTTTGTTTTCTACATGCTCGGATATGCACTTTCCTGCATTCTGATGGGTCTGTTAATGACTTCTTCAAATTTTACAGTACAATTTATCGTACCTTCCAACTTTATCCTCAACAATTGTTTCATATGCGTTTCTAAAATTTTATTACACTAATGCAAACAGGTCTGTAAGTGTACCAAAAACTATCAGGCATTGTAATGTAGAGTAAGACTTCCTGATAAAACGTTTTGAGCTTCCTGACTGCAGGATTGAGGTCTCCCCACAACAGGGTCTTGATCCAAACGCACTTTCGCCAATGATGAAAATATAACGATTCTGTTGTTCTGAAAGACTAATTTTAGCTCCTCTCAAGCGAAAAGTTTCGAGCACAGGAAGGAACTCATGATTGGCAATGGGGATACCGTAACACCTGGAACAGACTCCAAGAGATGCAAGAACAGTACCAGTGTCAAGTGGAGCATTCCCAATATTTGTGAGGGTTAAAAAAAAAACAAGGGGGCTGAAAACAAGGATTGAATAACGCTCGGTGGTGGCGGCCCCCATCCAAATCTACATCTATCCACAAATAGGATGGTAAGTTTATAGATAGAAGATAATAATTTGGCACAGAATACATAAAAACTATTTCATTATTACCGTAGAACGGCTTTATCGATCATACCAATCCTGACATGAAAAGAGATGCCACCAGAAGACCTTGTTCACACAATGCCCAAAACAATGGATGCTAGCTCATATAGGTTGATGAAGTCATGCTGATGGCATTGAAGAAAGCCTACAGTAAGTTTACATTCATTGTGCTTAGTTTATTATCGATGAAACAGTTCTACAGTTATAAAAAGCAAACCAGATATTAACTATTCCGATAATCATTTAAGGTCAGTGAAAGAAGCAGAAGCAAAATATGTCAAGATTTTTCTTCTTTCTTTTCAGCATGACTAATTTTCAGGGGAGTCCTCGACTGAAAAACATAAAATCAAGTCCTCAAAACAGACACATCAAATCAAGTTTCAAAAATGGATGTTAAACAGAACAGGAACACAAGAAACATACAGTAAATAGATACTTTAGTTTCAAGTTTACTGTTGGTTGCACTCCATGCTTGGCACCCATAAGTTCTGCTTCTGCAGATTGCATTTAGAAAGAGTATGATTTTTAAGATCTATCTTCTGTTTTTTAAAGAATTTGTTTGTATGCTCCAATAGCATTATTTTTTTTTTTTATACAACTCAATACAATTTGTCCTACATGAATCGGAAGTAACACTCTAATCACAGATATCTGATTTTTGTATTCTTTAAAAGGTAGCCATTCAGTGTGCAAATTGACTCGGGGTATTCAATAGACCGAATCGGCGACTCCAGCTATTACTGGTCACGTGACATATAATGGGTACAAAATATAAACATACACATCGTAAACCACAGTGCGCTCATTGAACCATAACACAGTATATTGAGAGTTATTATGTTTTTTAGACAGTGACCCAGTAAGTAAAGTAAGGCAGTAGGCCTATGTTTCTTTTTAAATAGTGATTTATAATTAATTTGGAAATCTCCGTGCATTTTATTTAGGCTCTGGAATGCTGCTAGTGTACGGTAGGATACATACTGTACATTTAGGCCTATAGACCCAGGCTGCACTGTGAGTGTTAGGCTTCCAGGGCACGGAGCAGGGAGGGATATATTTCTATAGTCGAGTACTGTAGGTAATAAAGTAGAAAATAACCCTTAACGGTACTACTCCTATGCTGTTACCTTGTCGTGGTGGAGTAGCAACCGTACCCCAATGACCCGAAGAGTTAAGGCAGCGGTAGCAGTGCTACTGGAAAGGTCTCCCATGCTGGATAGGTCCGAGGGTAGGGGTCAGACTAAAGATAGCAAACCTGGTCCTCCATGGGTAAAATTGGAGGTTGGACTACAGGCTAACCACCTGTATCCATAAAACACCATTGATTATGGAAACTGTACGCGACAGAATACCAGTTGAAACTGGAAATAGAGCTTGCAATGCGACAGTCCGTATACCTCTGGACAAGGACATTGTGTATATGGACAGTATGACACCACTGTGCCAAAGCTGAGGACGCTTAGCGGCTGATTAACTAGTTGACCAAGCCCAAAGGATTGGATGCTGGAATGTTTGCACATTATTCAGCATTGGTAAATCAGCTCAGTTAGCCAAGGAAATGAACAGATATCGCATCAACATTATGGGGATTAGTGAATGTAGATGGTCCGGGTTTGGGAAGGTGAAACTGACAAGTGGGGAGACTGTTATATTTTCTGGAAGAGAGGATGATTTACACCAACAAGGAGTGGCCTTAATGTTGTCAAGAAAAGCAGAAAAGTCTTTACTAGAATGGAAGCCAATTAATGAAAGGATAATTTACGATCTGGTTTTTCATGTACATTTTTCGTGATTATGACTATTGTGGATAAAGAATGTTTTAAGCAGAGGTGGATTCAAGGGGCACCCCCCCCCCTTCATTTTTTTAAGGAAAAAAAAAGAAATATATATTCAAATTGAAGTGCGAGAGTATATTCAAATTGAAGTGCGAGAGTGTAATTTCCAGCCATCTAGAGATGCCCCAATTATAAATTTTCTTACCTCAGCCCCAACCATGGTGGGGCTGAGGTGGGTGGTTACTCTCTCTGCATAAGTCCCTCCCTGGTTCACCTCTCTTTCGAATTCCCGGATCTGCCACTGTTGATTTATTATATAATTATTTTTGCGCTTATTTATAATACGTCTATTGCAATTTTCACTTTATCCTCTCAAACAGTCCTAAGAACGTTCAGAGTGCGCTACTTCACAGGGGGATTCGCATAACGGCTCCCCCCCCTTTCAAAATCCTGGCTACGTCCCTGAAACAAGGTGACATGATGTCAGGATTTCTCTTCTTACTTGTAATAGATTGGATCATGAATAGGTCAACAGAGGGAAACAAAACGGGAATACGGTGGAAATTTATGAAAAAGCTGGAAGATCTCGACTTTGCAGATGATGTGGCTTTAATTTCACCAACTTCACAATTTATGCAAAAAAAAAAAAAATCAGATGAACCGAGCTTCTAACAGAACTGGCCTAAAAATTCATAAGACGAAAACAGAAGTTCTCAAAATCAACAGTAAATCAAACAGCAAAATCAATATAGATGGAGAGGAGTTAAAGGGGGTGGACAAATTCACATATCTTGGAGCAACAGTCAGTACACAAGGAGAAGGAGGAGGAGGAGATGACATAAACACCAGAATACTGAAAGCCATGACATCCTTCGCAAAACTTAATAAAATTTAGAGATCAACGAAGATTAGCTTAAAAACAAAGATAAGACTATATAACTTATTGGTCAAACCTGTTCTTCTATATGGAGCTGAAACTTAATTAATGAGAGTGACAACAAGAAACTCGACTCATTCCTCTTCAAATGTCTACGACGGATATTGGGTATACGATGGCCATATGTGATATCAAATGAAAATCTGCTAGAATGCACAAACATTAAAAGATAGAAATGGATTGGCCATGTGTTGAGGATGGACACCAATAATCACTGTATGACAGCAATGACATGGAAACCGGAAGGAAGGAGAAGTGGAGGACAGTGGAGAAAGAGAGGGGACACCTAGGATGGAGATCATGGAACCAGGCAAAACAAGTCGCCATGGATAGAAACGACTGGAGAGCCGTCACAGCAGCCTTATGGGCCACGAGGCCCGAAGAGGACAAGTAAGTAAAGTAAGTAATGGTACTGACTGCTCAACCAAACTTGTGAAACAGGCTGGTGATAATAGGCCTGGTTGGTATGGTACATTCTAATGCCAGTACGTAATAATAATGTCTATGATGATCATTATCCTCGGCAGTAACTATAAACATTCTATGATTTAATTTTGGATTTAAAATCACTGTAAAATAGTACTCTTGCAACAAATGGAGAGATTCGTTTCTTTTTTTTGTTTTTTTTTCATGCTGCGATATAGCATTTGTCATGATTAATATTCTTGACATAGGCCTAGGCCTAAAAAGTACCTCAGCCGGCGACGACTCTATTGACTGGAGCAATATGCACGTCGTGAAGGTATTGTACCTTTGACCAGGGCCCGTAGCATGGAAGGAGTTGTTATGCCTCGACTATATATATATCTCTGTAGTCGAGTAGGTAATAAATTAGAAAATAACCCTTAACGTTACTGATTGCTCAACCAAACTACTCCTGGCATGGATATTTGTTGTCAAATGATGATCATTATCCTTGGCAGTAACTACAAACATCCTATCTTTCCAACCAACATTTGCAACATATATGATGTGACTTACATCAACAAGGCAAAGCCATATTCAATGCACTGTCGTATTGCGATGTAAACAAACCCAATACCCACTATAAGTCACATGACCCGAGCCGCCGATTCGTCTATTGATTTGTCCTTCATAAGCAATGTTTTGGTTTTCAGAGGACCTGATGTCAAACCATACTGTCTAATAAACTGTTAAATGCAAGTTACGATAGCGCATCATCTTCCTGATGAATAAATCACATTTATGAGCACAAACTTTGTAATTGTTTGTTATCAGTCATGAGTACTTTTGTGCTAAAGTTCCAGAACAGTTGCACTTAACATCTGGCCAACATCATAGTACAGTATTAATGGGAAGTGATGAGAAGAAAATAAGCAAAGTTCTAGAAAAATTTCAGAAATTTTGCGAACAAAAAAAAAACATGACATATGAAAGATCATTATGCCTTAACTGGGGGAGGGGGATGTACCCACATATACAAGAATAATAATGTCCTGCGGCAGGTAATATGTGTCATGCACATGGAGAAAATCAACATTTTGCCAAAAAAAATGTTGTTTTTGAGGTTCTTGTTACTGTTTCTGCTGCTGTATCACATGATTGATATGTACAGTAGCTACAAAAAGAAAATAAAAAAATAAAAATATAGAATTGAAATCCAAACATAAAAAGCTGGCAGAACAGCAGTGGCGGCGCTAGTCCACTTTGCAGAAACTCAGTTTGCCAAATGCACCCAGTTTGCTGAAAGTCAATTAAAAGCAGTAAAACATTAACAGCAGCATAAAATGTATGAAGGAGCACTCTCTCCTATAACAGTTTATTGTCTATTGTCTTACATTAGCATATTTATAACTAGACCTATCAGATAAAATGTCTTATATTAGCATATTTCTAATGAATCCATAAACTTTAACTATAAGATAACAATATGTAGACCTAAATTAAATACCGTAATAATCTATTATTATACACTGGTGGCTCCAGAAATTTGCTAACAGGAGATCTGAATCTGACTGACTAGAGCCTCATTCAGGGCACTTGCATAAAAATCCCTGGCAGGGTTCGCAGGGAGAGTTTTTTAGGGGGATACGATGCTTTGAAAATTTATGTGATCCTTCGTAAACCTTAGCTGGCTTAGAAATCGTAGCGTTATCCGCTGGTCGAAGACTTTCATGTATACTTAAACAGGCCGTAATGTTTTCCCTGATACACCCACCGTAGGTCACGTGACCTGCTGTAAAAAAACACTTCCTAATCCCTCTATTTGTATATAAATACGACTCCTCCCTTACCCACCCACCCACCATGTTTTTAAAAAGCACAGTATGCTGTACTTTTGTATGACTGTGACATAAGATTTGGCAAACTGGTGTGTCATGACTTCAGTGAACTGGATTCGGCAAACTGGGTTTTGGCAAAGTGGCCCTGGACTCGGCAAACTGGATTTCGACAAACTGGTTGGATACCCCAGTGAACTGGCACATCAGAAAGTTAATTACCTCCACCAGTGAATTTCACATGTGGCACATACATGGCCCATAGGTTGGATTCGGACGCAAACTCAATTACATGGGTAATCTACTAATAACCTCGGGGCTAAATGTGACGGTCGTTCGGACAAGTAAAATAACAATCCATTTACCCATTAATTTGACGGAATTTACGAATTTTACAAGCTTCTGCAAGCAATGTTTTCGCGGCAATTTCAATACTTCATACACGAATTTACACATTTTCTGCTTACTTTTTATACAATTTACTCATTTCCTTGCGATTATCCTTACAAATTGACACCGAATTATGATTAACCTAGCCGATCTAACTATCCTGACAACTTTTATATTGCTTCTCGATGACGGATTTGATCTAAACCAAGCTTTTCGATGAAGAAAGTACAGCAACGACGAAGACAACGACCAGCGTGGAAAGAAAGCTTGGGCAACAACGCGAAGAATCATGCAGCGTGGTCGCGAGCTTCTTTTTGTCAAGTGCACTCTGACCCGGCATTGCTTACAAATCTGAAGGGTCAACTTATGACCTGGGCCTTGTTACGAGTGATTAATTACGTCTTGAGGCAAGGTGTAATTGAAATATCCAGTAAAAAAGGTGGGTTTTTGGGCCAGATGTTTTTCGAATTTTCTATACCCAGGGGTATTATTTAATTGCCACACGCGACCGCTCAGCTGGTGGTACCCAGTTAAATTTTACTCGTCCGAATCGGCCCATAGAGAAAGAAAATAAAAGGGGCCTGTTCGGACGAGTAAAGTTTTACCGGGTACTTCCAACTGAGAGGCCATGTGTGGCAATTAAATTTTGCCTCTAGCCATAAAATATTCGAAAAACATCTGTCCCAAAAACCCATCTTTTTTAGTGGATATTTCAATTACACGCTGCCTCCAGGCGTAATTAATCACATGTAACAAGGCCCACGTCAAAAGTTGACCTTTTTAGATGTGTATACAACACCGGGCCAGAGTAAAATTTCCATCGTTCAATCCCGTTCCCATTTTCTCATAATACTTTAAATCCTTATGAAAATAACTTAAATAATATTTAAAAGCATTAAAAAAGTTTGACAGTAAGAACTTTAGCAAAACATGAGAAAATGATGATTAAACTTACAACAAAAAAAGGTTCTTTACGGTTAAGCCAGCGAGTGAGCGACATTTTTACATACGCCACTGTATTCGTTCAAATGTCGTATTTCTAATTCATATTTTATTATTTGTTAAGTGAGTATTACTGCTTTAAAAACAAACTTGAAAATTATAATTAGATGTAATTTGTATTTCAATAACAGAAAAATAATTATACACCTACTTTTAAATTAGTTTTGTTACTGGTTTCACCGGTTCTTATTCTATTTGTCCGAATGGAATTAGCCCCAAGGCTATTATTAGATTACACATGTATTTGAGTTTACGTCTGAACATGGACGTAAACTCAAATCAATCTGAGTTTTATTGCGCTAAACTCTGTATATTTTTTTCATTATTATTATTATTATTATACTTATTATTACTATTATTACTATATGTAATTGAAGTGTAATTTTTTTGTTTTTTTGTTGTCCAATTTTATTTGGGGTCACTATTAGACAAGTAATGGTCTTGTTATTTATATCAAACCTAACTCCTTATGAAAATAACTTAAATAATATTTAAAAGCATTAAAAAAGTTTGACAGTAAGAACTTTAGCAAAACACGAGAAAATGATGTTTAAACTTACAACAAAAAAAGGTTCTTTACGGTTAAGTCAGCGAGTGAGCGACATTTTTACATACGCCACTGTATTCGTTCAAATGTTGTATTTCTAAGTCATATTTTATAAAATATGACTTAGAAATACAACATTTGAACGAATACAGTGGCGTATGTAAAAATGTCGCTCACTCGCTGACTTAACCGTAAAGAACCTTTTTTTGTTGTAAGTTTAAACATCATTTTCTCGTGTTTTGCTAAAGTTCTTACTGTCAAACTTTTTTAATGCTTTTAAATATTATTTAAGTGAGTTATTTGTTAAGTGAGTATTACTACTTTAAAAACAAACTTGAAAATTATAATTAGATGTAATTTGTATTTCAATAACAGAAAAATAATTTTATACCTACCAGGGCTCGAAATTCACGCTAGCAAACTAGCAATTTGCTAGTAGGTTTGTCATAATTGCTAGGTAAAAATTCACAAACCAGCAAATTAAAAAAAATGATTGCTAGTTGAAATATCTATACAAAATATCATGTTATTAGCCTAGTATTAACTAAACCTAGACTAAACTGATCTACAAAAACTAATACAAATTTTATTAAATTTATTTATTTATTTTTTAACTATGAAAATCGACTAAAAATGCCTATAATCAACGAAAAACTATAGTTTTTTTTCATCTTGAGCACAATATGTGAAGTGCGCCACCAACATTAATTTTTTTAAACCTTGCATTGCTTGTATGGATGGGTAGTTGCTAAATACAACGGGTTTAGCCGAGGGGAGTGGCTTGTATATGGTGACGTCATGTATAATTATGCCGTCCAGCAAAAAAGATCACGCTACACTGTGTGACCAATGGGAAATTATCAAGGCGAGCAGACTGAGGAGGCTTAGCTTAGTTTTCTCTTGTGCTGCTAGGCTACGGACGGGTGAGGGACAATCGAGTCTATTTTCAGACGATTGGCCTAAGTAGTATGGACGTTCGTAGGTCTAGGCTCCCTCTAACTAATTAAAGCCTGGGCTAGGTCGGACCAGGAGGTATTTTCAGTAGTCTGGGGCCTAGTCCTAGATTGTGCGTCCAGCAGCAGTCCGTCTAGGCCTGTGCATCATTTACGTGAAGTTAGGCCTATCTATGCTTATGCAGAATCTGTTGTAAGACCCTCGCCTAGGTACTGAAGAATCTGCACTGAATAGGCGCAATAGCCTACATAACATTTATACAATACAAATATACACGACATTGGAACGTTAATATATTTACTTAAATTACATTGGCCTATTTAATTCGGTTCCCTTTTTCTGGAATATAGCCGGCAATATTGTTTCAAAGCAGTGAACACTAAAAAAAAATCTTAACTTCAGCAGTCATGTTGTAAAAAGTTGTAATTTTAATTTATTAGGCCCATTTTCTCTTGTAAGATAATTAGTTCATAGGATTAAGATTTGATCCCATAGGATTTGCCCGGGGTCTGAGGTCTTCTCATTATCCGTCGAAAGTATTACACGGGGGCCGGGGGGGGGGAATAATTTTTGGTTTGAAAGTCTTACTTAGTCGATTTTTGTGTCTACTAATATGTAGAAATTACATTACATTTTTTTCTCACTAGCGAATTGTTGTTTTTTTCTCCCTGACAGGGGGAGAGAAGCCGGGCCTCCCCGATGGGGTCCTACCCCCCCCCCCCTCCGCTGCCGCCACTCCTGCTAAGTACAGTATTGTACTATAGTAGGGCCTAGGCCATTGAATTGTTTTCATTTCTTTCAGTGATTAAGCCTAATCCCTACCGCTAAAATAAGACTAACTTATTATAGGCCTCCATTGTTTCACTCTGTGTAGGCCCCATGGATTTATAATATTCGAGGGATCCTAATTTTTGGAAAGAAAAACACACAGGGACAGCTTAATTATTTTTTCTTATATTGGTTGTACCATGAAAGGAATTAGTTGGTACGGACTGTATTTTGCTATGCTGTGTGACTAAAGACATTACAGACAGGCCCAACACTTTGTCGAGGAAATTAATACAAAACATAGCTGAAGTTATGCATGACGTCAACATACGAAGCCACGCCCCCTCGGCTGAACACGTTGTATTTAGCAACTACCGTATGGATGCATGCAACAAGCTCAGCAGTGTGCAGAAAAAAAATCGCTCACATGTGTTTGTTGACGGAAGTCACGGGCGATGCAATCGGTAGTTAAGGCGAACATATTTAATTTGGTTCTTTTTAGATAATAAACAATGTTTCAGATATGATAATAATAATTTAATATGAAGCTTAGACAAATAATAGGTTACAACCTAGGCTTCAATTGGCAGATGTTTTAGGCCTAGCCTACTATTTTAGTAGACCCTAGCCTAGCTAGTCTGGCTAGGCCTAGTACTGTAGTAGTAGATATCCTAACCTAGGGCCTAGGCTAGGCTAGGCCTACTACTGGACCAGCGGCCGCCTGCAAAATGTCTAGCCCCAGCTTTAAAAGACCAAGGCTTATCAAAATAAATATTGTACAAACAAATCTTTTATGTAAAATTGCGTTTCTGTTATGGCCTTTTTCTGTCAAAGATTTGGCTTGCTACCAATGCAGTTTTTGAAATATCTAGGCCTAGCCCCTAGCTAAGCCTGCCTAGGCTAGCCAGGCCAAGGCTAGTCTGGCAAAAACCCCCTCCCCCCTGAATATTTCTGAGAGTGTGACACTAAACAAGTATATTTTTTTAAATTTTCAAAATAATATGATATAAAATTAATATAAAATAAATTTTATTTATAATTATATTATTTTGAAAAATTCCACTAAGCAGTACATATTTAATATGAAAACAAAATCACAGATACAAAATAAAAATTAAATGAATGATAAACTTAACTTATTTTAAAAAATAAATTAAGTATAATATTAAATTTTTATTTTGTATCATGATTTTTTTTTTTTCATATTAAAATTTTTCTGACACTGAAGTGAATAAATGTACAAGGTATAGAAATCGATTTTTTATACTCACTTGGCTATTTCTTTGTGATATTTATTGTACTACACTCACCATAACAGAAAATATTATATTAAAACATTTAACACACAAATTTATAGAAGTACATCATTAGTTATTTTCATACAATTTATTTTCCGAAAACAATATGTTGAGTTTGTATCAATATATTTTACTAGTTGAGAAGCTAATTTTGCTAGTTACATTTTTAACAACTAGCACATTTTAGCAATAGGTTGCTAGTGGCTGAAAAAGTAAATTTCTAGCCCTGCCTACTTTTAAATTAGTTTTGTTACAACAACTTTACGAGTTGTTTTACAGTCAACAACAATATGGCGTCGTCTAGCGGTGGACATGTGCCGAATGTAATAAAGTTTTGTTATCACGGTGAAGAAATCACTTGAAGCTCCAAATAAAGTTACAAAGGCTAGATTATGTATAGTTTTAAACAGTAACAACAAAAATATTGCTAAAAAACTTGTGTCTGACCTTGGTTGAAGGAAAGACATACGAGAAGTTACTGGTTTTACCGGTACTTATTCTACTCGTCCGAACAGCCGTCGGAATTAGCCCCAAGGCTATTATTAGATTACACATGTATTTGAGTTTACGTCCGAACACGGTCAAGGAGTCACAACAGAGTACAAGTGCCAGGCTGAACCAATTATGACCAATTAGGCTCCCGCGGAGAAGCAGTGCTCTAGCATAGGGCCATTTAATTAGACCTTGTGAAGATAACGGCCTTTGATGGATATCCTATTTACCGCCGCTGACTTCGGTCTGATTACGTAACACCCCTCATTTAGAAACAAGCCAAGCGTAACAATGGTGACAAGAATGCAAACTGAGGCTGCGCAGAAGTCACTGACATGTACCATGTAGTAATAACACATGTGCAGTAATGCAGTTTAAGCCTTGCTTTCGACTAAAAAAATTATTTAAAAATCGATCAATATTTCGAAAAGTTACATCAATTCAAAGATACGTTTTTATAATTATCGTCAATTTCATCAAGGGATTATCGTATTATTTGTTAAGTCGAATTTCATCACTTTCTACTACTACAAAACAGATAAATCTAGGTGCATTTTAAACCATAAAACATATCAAAACTTATTCTGTTTTCATTTTTTAATATCATACAATTATGATAATAAAGTTTGCTCATGAATATTAAATTTAACCGATTCAGTCTTTTTTTTACGAGTGTTTTAATTTTTTCTTTGTATAAGTCATTTATAAAATATGTTGTAGTCTATCTTATGACCTTACTATCATGATATTATTTAGTCACACTAGATTTTTCACAATAGAGAAAGTGCATACGAGGCCAGCGTGTCTTTGCAAAGCTCACATCCACATCTCTCACACAACTCATGGAGAGGCTAGGCTATGCTCTAAGTGTCGCCGAACAAAATATAGCAGGTTTTACGCAATATTTTATTGCAAAAAAAAAAGACAATATAACTTAGTACACATACGCCATTTTCTTTGTA